GCTAAACTAAGAACAACTTTCTTCTAAAAGAAAGTGACTAAAGTACACGAGACCTTTGAGCCTTTTGTTGCACTAAAGTACAGACGCTTTTGATATATCATTGATATTTGTGAAATACAAATCCGTCTCTCTACACACATCAGTTTAAACGTTAGTGATGACAGCTGCATGAAAGTAAAGAAGGAAATCATCTCTTCTAAAAGTAACTGAAAATCAACTTCTTTCGTGAAAAATGGTGTGAGGAGGAAGGAGACAAGATGTCCAGGGGATTCTAGGAGACATGAGAGGAGAAAGGAGCTGAGGAGGAAGGAGACAAGATGTCCAGGGGATTCTAGGAGACATGAGAGGAGAAAGGAGCTGAGGAGGAAGGAGACAAGATGTCCAGGGGATTCTAGGATACATGAGAGGAGAAAGGAGACAAGATGTCCAGGGGATTCAAGGAGACATGAGAGGAGAAAGGAGGTGAGGGAAGAAAATGAAGGAGTCATGCTGTGATGAATCTCTGTCAGCAGGAAGGAGGCCAAGGTAGCGATGGGGGTAGAGAGGAAGGAGGAAGGAAAGGATGCCAAGGTAGCGATGGGGGATGAGAGGAGAGAGGAAAGAAGGAGGCCAAGGCAGCGATTGGGATGAGAGTAGGGAGGAAGGAAGGAGGCCAAGGAAGCGATGGGGGCAGAGAGGAGGAAGGAAGGAAGGAGACTTGTTTGGGTTCGGAGATTTTCAGAATCAAGTCCAATTTTTTTTATGTTTCTGAGAAAAAGTCCAATTTTTCTGGATTTTTCTGAAAAAAGTCCAAATGTTTTGATTTTTCTGAAAAAAGTATAACAAAAATTGATAAGCTCAAAATAAAGTCAGAATGTTTACTTTTTGAGAAAAAGTCAGAAATGTTAAATTTTCAAAATTCTGAATTTTGAGAAAATAAATCAGAATATTGTATTTCAAGGAAAAAGTTAAATGTACTTTTTCTCAAAATGGCAAAAAATGACATTTTTTTTATTGTCTTGATTTTGGACTTTTTCAAAAAATATAAAAAAATTGCCTTTTTTCTAGAAATCTAAAGAAATTGATTTTTTTCTTGAAATATCAATATTCTCAGTTTTTTTTCTTAATCCTTGCTTTATTCTTAAAAACACAATTTATTTGACATGCATATATATCTACACTGCAGCTATGTACACATGACAATAAGAGCCTTGAATCTTATCTCATAATAAAGTGCAAGGAGACGGATGTCCAAACCAAAGACAATGCCGAACAAAAGCCAAAACGATTTGCATTCATAGAAACCAGAGAAGAGAAGCTGATTCTAGAAAAACCCCGACTGAAGGAAACTGGCTTCAGTCGGGGATAAATGCAGACCAAGAATCTGAAGCATATCCGATATGAAAAACATACACTAGAGACATTCCTCGAAGCTAAGCTTAGAAAGATTCCCATCAAATCATCCGCAGAGAAGTCCACTTCGCTCTCCTCGTGTTATCTATTCCCCTCATGGGCTCTCTCTGCTTTTACACTTTGGAGACAGTTTGTCTAAAGACTGAGGATAATGACAGCTGCTCCAGAGGATCCTTCTCCACCAATCAGAGGAGACCTTAGAAGAACACTTGAACTTCCTCTAATCTTCCCCTTCATTCTTCCTGTACGTCGTGTTTACATTTTGCAAAAAGACCTTTCCAAAAGAATGTGCAAATGTTATTGCTTCTTTCAACACTTCACTGAAGTGCTCACACTGCATGCTGAACCTTTGTGGAACATATTTGTACTTAAATTACTTTCTGTAGATTTACTGCTAAAACCTTTGTGCATGAAAACTGAATAAAGGAAGTGCATTCAACTTCTCTCTAATATCAAGCAGTGGGCTGAATGAATAGAAGTCTATGAGACAAGTAGTCCACTTCTTACTGGATTATTACCTTTGCAAACCTTTGACTGATTTGTTTCTTGACTGAAGGTTTCAGTCTATAGTCTCAAGTCTTCTGCAAAATGTTGATTTAATAAATAATATTCCCATTTAGAGGATAAAGTGATGTATGCTTTAGGGCGGGGCTAACAGTGATTGACAGGTCGCTACCACAGTGTCGTCAGTGTATTCGTTATTATTAACTGTAGAGCCATTTTAATTATGTTAAAATGTTGTTGTTGTTTGGGTTTTGAGATTTTCAGAATCAAGTCAATATTTACAGAAAAAAATCACAACAAAAATGTATAACTTAAAAATAAAGTCAGAATGTTGACATTTTGAGAAAAAGTCAGAAATGTCAGAATGTTGAGAAAGAATTCAGAATATTGATTTTTTTTCATATGTAGGACTTTAATCTCAAGATGGCAAAAAATGTTTTTTTTTTTAATTCTCAACACTTTTTTAGCAAAATCTCCAAATTATGACTTTTTTAGATTTTGCTAAAAAAGTGTTGAGAATTAAAAAAAAAAACATTTTTTGCCATCTTGAGATTAAAGTCCTACATATGAAAAAANGGATAGTTGGGTTCGGTCTGAAGGGGAGTGGCTTAGCTTGACCCTGGTGGTGGTGAATGGATAGTTGGGTTCGGTCTGAAGGGGAGTGGCTTAGCTTGACCCTGGTGGTGGTGAATGGATAGTTGGGTTCGGTCTGAAGGGGAGGGGCTTAGCTTGACCCTGGATTCAGAGGGACAGGAGGTGAAAAGGGGGGGAGGAGGGTTGCGTCGAGTCACCTGAAATGACAGCAGTCAGAGGGGAGAGCAGATTTTAAAGGGTTAGCAGAGCGCTATGATAGGCTTGTGAGAATAGAGCGAAGTGATTGGTTAAGCTGGGGAGTGACGCCCCCGATCACTTATTGAGAAGAGGAGAGAGAGTAGTAACGTAGATATAGGAAATGAATGAGTAAAGACGGTCTTCCTGGTTGAACTTGCGATGAGCTTCATTTCTTAAAAACACTTAAATTGCATCTGGTCCTATGCATGATACAAATATGATGCTACTGTCATATTGTCAAAAACTGAACTAGAATCCTCATCTTATCAAGTCTTTTGTATCTCTTTTTAATTCATAAAGGACTCAGCAAATGTATGCTGTGTTCACGACCAGATGGGTCAGAACCAAAGCCAAAAATGTCAAATAAAAAAGCTATGTTTTCGTGATCATTGATGGAAAACAACGGCAGATGTCAAGAACTTACAGAATGTGATTTTCAGTAGGAACGACACTTAAATAAAGCATTGGGAGAAATGTGTTCAGCATCAAGTCGTCATTACAAGACTTTACAATCTGTTATCAAGATTGAACCACAAATGTTCCCATTAAAGAACAAATACACTCTTTTGTGTCACTTCATGAGCTTTTAAAATAGTTGGATCGCTATCCAAAAGAAAATTGGATAAATGCACATGAAGCATTTAATTTGGATTGAAATCTGATTGCTTCAACAGTTTTAAGTTTGAGGCTCATTCTTCACAGATGTTGAATAAGATCCAACAAACAGAGGATCAAACGGAGACGTTTCCTGTTTCGAGCAACTTGTTAAAAGAAAATAGATTCATCTTTCACAAATTTGGAGCAGCAACGTTTTATTTGTTTTGGAACCAGACGGAGATAATTCTACTGCAATGAGACCCTTTTTTAGGGGGGAAGGGGAATATATGGCATGACGGGGATTTGATGTTGTTTGCATGTTCCTGTGAAGCACTAACAACTTGGATATCTGAAAAGAGTCAGAATATGTGTTTTATTGTTTTTCCTTAATTATATAGTATTTTCAGGAAAAGTACAAATGATGTGATTTGAAGAATAAAGTCAGGATTTTGAGAAAAAGTCAGAATTTTAAGAAAAAAATCTGAATATTGATATTTCAAGGGAAAATTCTATTTTGAGAGATTTTGAGAAAAATTATTTTTCTTTGATATTTTTAGAAAAAAAGTCAAAATGCGGAGATTTTGCAAAAGAAATTCCAAAATGTTAAAAAGAGTCATTATTTACCCTTTTGGGAAAAAGTCCTTCATTTTACTTTTTCTTGAAATATCAATATTCTGAAATTGTTCTCAAAGTTCTGACATTCTGACTTCATTTTTTACTTACCATTTTTCTTTTGACATTTTTCAGAAAAATCTAAAATAATTGAAAAAAGGAAAAAAAATTAAGAAAAAATCTGAATACTT